AGAGAGAGTGGAAGGGAGAGAGAGAGAGAGGAGAGAGAGAAACACCCATGTGAAAGAGACACATCAACTGGTTGCCTCCCGCAGGAGGCCAGGATCAAATCTGCAATCCAGGTATGTGCCCTTGACTAGGAATTGAACACAAGACCCTATGGCGCACAGGCTGACGCTCTACCCACTGACCAATGCCAGCCAGGGCTGAAGTCAGTCTTAAAGCTCATAAGCAGCCAAACCAGATTTCAAAGGTCGTTCACTTTCCTCCAAGTCGCATGCTCTTACATACCCATACAATGAGCAATCAATGACAAGGGAGAGTGTCATTCCTCATCACATGGGCATCTAAGTGAGAGGGCACATACAGTGCAGTTGTAGAGGAATTCTAGAGCTGAGACTTTTCAAGCAGTGGTTTGAGAAAGAGAAATGCAAGATTAATTATCAAAATACTTAATGTCTGAAATTATGAATCACAGCTCTATTCTGCACTTTGTTCTCAAATATTTGTGTTGCCTCAAATCACTTCTTCCAAAAAAGGAGTGTGTATGCAAACAGGTAGATAGATCTATAGATAAAACAAATCTGGCAAAATGTTAACGACTGGTGGATTCAAGTGAAGTGTTTATAGATATTCATTATACTACTTCTTGCAATTTTCCTGTAAGTTTGAAATTTTTCAATATACAAAGTTGGAGAGAGAAAAAATACCTGCTGTCTTTGTCTGTTCTTTCATTTATGAGAGGAATCCATCGACTTGTTACCTAAAATGAAAATTAACAAGAGCTAAGCCACATGAGGATCTTCTTTGAAAAATACCCGACATAAGACCCCTATAATTCTAAACTGGGGATCAATTTTGAAAGTGCCCCACTGAAATTTAACTAAATACGGTGAAAAAAGTCATATAGTCCTACCTTATCAATAGAATGCTTGTTGTTAACAGCATAAACTATGCAGATGACATTAGCCTACAAGAAAAATGAACGAATTAATAGTATTTTTGTAATAATAAGAAAAACTTAGTACGTCTCTAAGAGGAAAAAGTTCCTAAGGACTTACAGCAAAAATAGACACTCAAACTCAGCAATAACAACAAAATAAGTTAGAGAATAAAAAATAAGACTTAGAATCACCACTGTTTTCCCACAAAAACCTATTACTATTTTTTAACTCATCTGTGATTTTGGGTTTTTTTGGTTAATCCTCACCTGAAGATATTTTTTTCCATTGATTTTTAGAGAGAGTGGAAAGGAGGGAGAGAGGGTGGGAGAAATAGACACATAGATTGGTTGCCTCTTGCGTGTGCCCCGATCAGGGCCAGGGATCAAACCTACAACCCAGGTACATGCCCTTGATCGGAATCGAACCTGCGACTCTTCAGTACCCGGGCCGGCGCTCTAACCACTGACCCACACAGGCCAGGTCACTAACCTGTGATATTTCTTGATGAAGTTGTTCATCACTCTGTTCTGCTTCTACAAATGACAAAGTAAAAAATAGTTTCATACTTTACACATGTCCATAAAAACGAATGGCCAGGCTAAAATCTATGCAACCCATCTAACATCCCTCTAAACATCCCTTATTCCTTAAGTCATATTGTTGTGTCAGACTAGGTGGCAAAGACAAGGGCAGGGCAGGGGAAGGGAAGGGTGATAAGGAAGCTGGCTGGTACTGAAAGACAGGTTTACAAGAGGATAACTGACACAGAAGAGCAAAAGGAACTGTGTTATAAATCTAGGCCGGCATCTGACCCAGAGTTGAGAAGGGTCAGAAAAGCGATCAGAAACCCAAGCTAGAAGACTGGGTGCTGAGAAGTCAGAAGCCCAGACAGTGTCTATCCACACAAGGTTAAAAGGCCACATGAGAATCTGGGCAATACAAGCTTAAGATCTAGATAGCAGATATGAGTAATATTAACCAGGCCCCAGAAGCAAAACTAGAGCATGATGATGATGAGTCAAAAATTCCTTCTCTAGTGCGTATCTCTGGCCAGAACTGGTATCAATGGGTAGTTGTGCCTATAACCCCAAGGTACACGAGACATGCGTGATGTAGGTAGGAGGAAGCACACAAATGAAGAGCAAAGCCATTATTGACATATTAATTCAGATCATCTTATATTAAATAGTTTCCCCCAAAATGCCTGTTATTTCTGACATACAAACTAATATCATATGTAAGTTCAATTGCACTTTACACTATGCTAAAATAACTGGCCATTTTTAGTATCTTTTCATACGTTCAGTAATAATGGGTTTTGGCTCCAATTCTAATATGGAAGTGAATCTAATTATATGGCTACACTTATCTAAAAAAATGATTCTATAAGTTAAGCTACAGTTATGAGACTGTAGCAGAAAGCATTCACTCCCCTCAGCTTCTAATATAGCACAGTGCTGTCCAGTAGAAATACAATGCAAGCATATATATGTAATTTTTAATTTGCTAGTAGTCACCTTAAGTAACAGGTAAAATTACTCTTTTACTTAACCCAAAACATCAAAAATATTAAAATTTCAATATATACTCAGAAAAAGTACTAATGAGCTATTTTATATTCTGGCTTCATACTAAATCTTCTAAATGCACTGTATTGTACACTTAGGGCACACTTCAATTTAGACTAGCCACACTTCCAAGTTTTCAAATAGTCACATGTTTCCGACTGCATAGTGCTAACATTTATTTTTTAGGCTATATGAGATACCAGTTTGGCAAAACAAAGTATTACAGTGTAGTTATATCCATTTAAAAAAATAGATTTTATCGTTTAGACCAGTTTTTGGTTCACAGCAAAACTGAGTAAAGGGTACAGAGATTTCCCATCTACCTCCTGCCTCCATATAGCTTCCCCCACTGTCAACATCACCCATCAGAGTGGTACATGTTACAACTGATTCTTTAAAAAAAAAAAGTCCCAGAACAAAGCACAATAATTTAATGATTAAAAAGTAGTAGTGTATAGAAAAAAATTTAAATTATAAGAAGCAATATATATCGCTTCTCGGCCTTTTGGCTAAGATCAAGAAGCAATACAGATGTGCTTCTATTATCATATATGTAAACAACTTGAAAACTGTTTTAACTATTATTTTATTTAAGACAAAGGCTGAAAAATTAAAGAACAAATTTAGAAATCAACAAATTCTGAAATTTAGAGCGCTTTCCAAATCATCAGAGCATGCCTGATAACCAATTATCCCAGAACTTCTCTCTGCAAACATGACAATTCAAGGAGGGTAATAACTTATCTACTTCTTGTCATTTACCATTCCTCCTTCCTTTTCATCATTATGGAACCCACCTTAGTAAAGTAGGGAAGAGAACTGCAAGATGGAGGCTTTAGGTGGGTCTGGGGTGGGGATTGGCAGGAAGATATAAATGAAACAAGAATAGTAAATGATCATTTATTGCTAGAGAAAAAGGACCACTCCTGTTTAATATTTTTTAAACCTCAGTAAGTACCCTTTTTCAAATTACTGAACTAACCCTACAGGTTCACCTACAATAGGTCATTCATTACCTGAGTAATCTACGATGTGTGTTGGAACTCTCTCAGGGGTGACATCAGCTGGAATAGTGATTTCTTCTGCCCGAGGAGGAACCTTCATTTGAAAACAAATATAGAAGAAAAACAGGCCACCTTTGTATATGATAGATTAAAACTGTTAACAAATTATGTAAATGTATCTATATATTAGCCCCTTTCATCCATATCTATTCTTACAGGTATTTGTTGTACTTTTAAATGCTTATTTTTGTGTTTTATTACAAATGCAAATATATATTAATGGTATATGATAAATCACTTTTTTAAAAAAGCTCATTTCTACCTGTGTGGGCACTGGACATAAAAGAATACTTCAGATCTGATGTAGCCTAACACAGTACTTAAATTAATTTGGTGTTTTAAACATTAGGTTTTTAAATGTTGAGGATGATAAAAAAGTTTTAGATGTAGAAAGTGATGTTGGCTACACAAAATTGTGAATGTATTTAATGCCCCTAAATTGTACATTGTAAAATCTAATGTCGTTTTCATTCTATTTTGTTGAAAGCTTGACATACTCTACAAATGAAGAACTATGTTAATCTAAAATAATCCTCAAATAAAACAATGTTATCAAAATACATTTCTTCTGGAAGATAACTAATTGGCAACATAATAAGCCTTATGTTTAATGATCCCATTTTTTAGAAATACTGGATGGTTTTTAATCAATTAAAAATCCCTTATTCACACTCAAGAGGACTATGCTAAAATGACAATTCTAAACTAAGTTAAACTATCATAGAAAACTTTTAGGTATTACATCCTGGGTGATCATAATTAATGTTGCTAATTCTATAAACCACAAAGGAAAATACACTTCATTTCATAAATTAAGCAGTAGTTATTTAACCATGTTACTTAAGAGGGGAAAAAAAGCGCAAGAAACAATGAATGGTCATATGGCCACTGTTGAAAACACTATTGTATCATACATCATATTCCTGTCTAAATAATGAAATTATACAGATATTCCTACTTAAGTAAGAGTAAAACAAAGGGGGGGGGATCAAATGTAAATTATGGCACTAATAACACCTGCAATGTGAACAAAGAAAATAAAAAGAAATAATTTTCACCCCATTTGCACTGATCCCATTCCCCATAACAATATCCTGATTTTACATAAGGCCTTAACCAGCAATCCCCATACTGGAACTTCCAAAATGTAAACAAATATATTGCCAGTAATAATAAAAACCACTTTACTTTTAGTAGCACTCCCATTAAGCTTATCTCATTTGAGACCCACAACAATCCTTTGAGGTAAGTAGGCAAAGGCAGAATGACTGATCCCATTCCCCATAACAATATCCTGATTTTACATAAGGCCTTAACCAGCAATCCCCATACTGGAACTTCCAAAATGTAAACAAATATATTGCCAGTAATAATAAAAACCACTTTACTTTTAGTAGCACTCCCATTAAGCTTATCTCATTTGAGAGCAACAACAATCCTTTGAGGTAAGTAGGCAAAAGCAGAATGAATTAGTTTCTCTATTTGTAAAATGATGGAGGTGGATAATATTAAAGGTTTTAAATATGTGTGTCAGAATCCTAGTAGTTCTAATGCCTCAAAGACTAGGGGGTGGCAGATGGAAGGCAGGTGGGGATTCAGCCCTTTTGCCCTAACTTCAACGAAAGGAATACTCATTTGTTTTATGTTTTGGGGTTATGAGCAACATTTTATGTTTAAGAAACAATTACACACACACACACACACACACACACACACACACACAAAATGAAATGATTACACAGATTAGATGACTTCTATCCCTTTCAGCTCCCATATTACATATGAAACTTATTAGGCACAGAGATGACAATATCCCAGCCAAGGTTAAAAGTATAGGAAATGCAAAGGACTGAGGTGAACTCAGATCTAGGGTGACTTTCTCCTACACCGTATTTCAGGGATGTCTTGTATAAAATAATATGAGTCTTTTCAAAAATCACAACTGTCAGAAAGGAAGCACACGCAAGAAAGGCAGAATTTGTTTCATTTTAGCTCAATTTTGAGAAATTTAAAACATTTTAAAAATAGCAAAAGAAATCAAAATGTTTACCTCCTCTGGAAATTCTTCACTGACCAGAGACATAATCAGTGATGTCTTCCCAACTCTAGCTGTGAAAAGAAAAACCATTACTTTAATAGAGTGTTCAGGTTCATAAGCTCATAATTCAGCAACTACATAGAAAGTCTGTTATTTGTTAGCTAAAATCAGAGGCATCCAAATTACCACATTTTATTACAATACTTCAAGTATATCTTTTTCTTCTGCTTAGAAAGTTACACATACTCCTTGTTTGAAACAAAAAATTATCAAAATTTATTATATGTAAGTAAAATTCTCCCATAATGTCCTCATTAACAATTTAATACAGACAGTCTCCCAGATTTTTCCTACACTCAAGTTAATATAATAATTTACCACAGTGGAATCATAGTATTCATACTATTTTACAATCTTCCTTTTTTATTTAATTATGTATTTGGGCAGTATTCCATGTCGTATATAAAAATCTCGTGGGAGAGGGAAGGAATTCTGTATTATTTAATGGATACAGAATTTTTGTTAAGTATGATAAAAAGTTTTAGATCTAGACAGTGGTGATGATCACACAAAATTGTGAATGTATTGAATACTCCTAAATTGTACATTTACAAATGGTTAAAATATTAAATATTATGTTTTGTATATTTTATCACAATTTAAAAAAATAGCAATCATAAATCCATTTTATATTAATATTTAGAAAGCTTCTTACATTAGTTTTGGATAGTTGTATAAGAATCCATTGTATGGTGTGTCATAATTAATATGATCTAACAATGAACACTGTTGAGGTTTTTACTTTTATAAACAATGCTACAATGATTATTTCTAAAGGATAAATTTAGAAGTGGAACTCAAGTTAGCATGCATAATCTTTTTTCAAAATATATTTTATTGATTTTTTACAGAGAGGAAGGGAGAGGGATAGAGAATTAGAAACACTGATGAGAGAGAAATATCAATCAGCTGCCTCCTGCACACTCCCTACTGGGAATGTGTCTGCAACAAAGGTACATGCCCTTGACTGGAATCGACCCTGGGGCCCTTGAGTCCGCAGGCCGATGCTCTATCCACTGAGCCAAACCGGTCTGGGCAGCATGCATAATCTTTTATGTTTTTAATAGATATTGTTAAATTACCTCCAAAAAAGAATAAACCAATTTACACCCTTACCAATAAAAGGTCAGAGTGCATATTTCTGTACACCCTTATATTCTTTCTTTTTTAGGGTATCATATTTAAAGGATTAATAAGAGGAAAGAAACTTTCTTATTACATTTTCTAACCTAGAAAATTTTTTAACGCACAAACTTAAAAATCTTAATTTTCATTCTGAAATGTGCCGTGCATTCTCCTCCCTTTCTGATCATATAATTGCTATCAGTAGACATCCAACCTCTTATTAACTAAATCCTTTTGTTATTCTCAAGGAAAACAGTCCACTGCCTATTAATCTCTGCCATAATAGCAAATTCCAGTTTCCAAAAGTAAAGTCTAAATATAAAATAACTGGAAAATTTTAAAGTTAAGAGAAGTCACATTCTTTTTTTTTAAATGACTAAAAAAAAAAAAAGGATGAACTGAAAACACAAGCCAAGTCTCTGGAAAAATAACGAATGGCTGGAGAGTACTGGTCCAAACAGAGGGTGTGCTGTGAACAAGTGAGGGCTGCTGGTGGAGGGACAAATTAGATGGTCTAACAGGTGCCTTCTAGCTGATTTCTTCGGTTCTTTTCAACTGACTGTGTGAGAACACTTGGGTCTTTTCCAAGTGGCTGAGAGTAAACACTGTCACTGAGTTCTGACTGTGTCAGTGAACTCAGAGCCCAACATCACAGAACTGCTAGATTCTAGAACGTAGTCATCAAAGTCAGCTGGTCCAGCTCCCCCCAAATATGTTCTGATACAGAACCTAGGACCCAGAGACAGTTATTTTCTCAAGGTCTCACTAAAAGATTAGTTGCACACCTAAGAGAATAACCCATCTCTTGATGGCTAAACCAGTGTTCTTTTTCTTACGCCAGACTTTAAAAATTTTTAACACAAGTTAAAAATACAGAAAAGGAATGGTGACCCCCTAAAGTCAGCAAACATTGCATACACAAATACTACGTAAGTTAATTAAGATACTTGCTGATTCACTGGTGACTAATTCAGCAGCTCTGGCTCAAAATTTTTTTTAAACTTATTTTAAGAAAGTTTCAGACTTACAAAAAAACTGCAAAAATAGTACTAAGGAGCCAGGTCTGTCCTTTAACCAAATCCCACATATGTTAACATTTAACCACATCTGCATTATCATTCTCTCTCTAAATATATATACTTAAAAATTTCTTTTAAACCATTTGAGAGTAAGTTGCAGACATGATGACCCTTTATGCTAAAGCACCGTAGTATACATTTCCTAAAGACGAGATCGTTCTCTTACATCACCACAGTGCATTGTCAAGATCAGGAAATTAACACCAATAAACACTATCATCTAATCTATAGACTTTATCACACCTCACATTCGTCCCACTATCATCTTTTATAGCAAAGAAAACTCTTTGTTTTTCTGACCAAGATCAAATATTGCATTTGGTTGTCAGTCTCTTTAGGCCCTTTTACTCTTTAGTTCCTCAATCTACCATGACCTTAACTTTTTGAAGAATACAAGCCACTGAATTTGTAGACTATCCCTCAATTGGGTTTGTATGATGTTATCTCATGATTAAGTTCAGGTTTTGCATTTTTGGCAGGAATATCCTAGAAGTGATATTGCACCCTCTTCAGCGCATCACAGCAGAAGGGAGATGGTGTCAATTTTGTCCCGTTACTGGTGATGTTGGCTGTCATCACTTGGAGGAGGTGGTGCCTGCCACTATAAAGTTATTTTTCCTATTGTAATTAATATGTATCTTAGGAGGAGATACTTTGGACTATGTTAATATCTTGTTTCTCATCAAACTTTTGCCCAATGGTTTAAGCAGTCATTCATGATGCTTAAATTTTGTTTCTATCAAACCTTCTACATTACTTTGCATTTTACTGTAAGAAAAAAACTTCCCTTCTGATTCATATTAGCATGGTCTCATGGATTATTCTATGGTTTATAAGCTGTTACTGTCACTATTTGGAGGCTCCAATTGTTCCAATTTACTTTTTAAATGACATTTATGTAGGTATAAATCAGCATGATCCCATTTTATTTTTAAAATATGTATTTGCATAGAAAAAATACACCAGGAAGGATATATATATACTAGGGGCCCGGTGCACGAAATTTTGTGCACTGGGGGGGGGCGGTGTCCCTCAGCCCGGCCTGTGCCCTTTCGCAGTCTGGGACCCCCCTTGGGAGATAACGGACTGCTGGCTTAGGCCCGCTCCCACG